TTATAAAAATTACAATTGATAATTAATTAAGAATTACAATATTTTTTTTTTTTATATTAAGTTGTACAAATCATGTTTCCTTAAAAATACTAAGATTTGAAGTGTGGTGTCAATGTTTGGTCCGAGGGCTGCGTCTAAAGTGGTTGGTATGTTCAGCTGATCGAGTTCTTCTCTGTATCGTCGGCATTCTGTTATGATATGGTGTACTGTTAGATCGGTGCCACAGGTTGAGCAAAAGGGTTTTTCATCCTTGGTCATGAGGTAACCGTGGGTTAGACGAGTATGCCCGATACGGAGTCTATTCATGATTACTATTTCTCTTCTTTTTGCGAGGGAATTGGGCCATCTGAATATGGAGTCTTTTATTCTTCTCAGTTTGGTGTCTTGTTCGAGCCAGTGTGATTGCCATTTGGTTCTAGTTAGTTCTTTAATTTGGTTTTTTATGTCTGAAAATGTAGTAATATTTAAAAAGGGGGTATCATTGTACTCTGCTGCTTTCTTAGCTTCTTGATCTGCCTTTTCATTGCCCTCTATGTCGCTGTGCCCCGGGATCCATATTAGTGAAATTTTGATTCCTGCATTATTTGCTAGGTTAATTTTTTGCAGAATAAGTTTTGCTATATCTGTGGTGTTGGAAGGGTTTTTGAGGCTCATGAGTGTTGAAAGTGAACCTGACAGGATTAGATTGCTTTTATGGAAGTTACCATGGCCTTCATTAAGAAAAATGTGTTCTACTGTTTTGAGAATTGCTATGGCTTCTGCCGTATATATAGAGCAGCTTTTGGGGAGTTTGAATTTGATAGTGAAGTCTTGATTGGTGATTGCGATTCCTACACCTTTTTCTGATTTAGAGGCATCAGTGTAGTAACGATTTGCATTTTTGTGATCCTGGAGTATTTCGTTTAAGGTATTCTTATAGGTCATCGGGAGAGTCAGCTCTTTTTTGAATTTAGTTAATTCCAGGTTTATATCGAAATTGTAGGACCATGGGGGGAAATCTGGGGGATGAACTTTCATTATCGCATTGAAATCTATGCCATGATCTTTGGCGTACTTGTTGATTTCTGTAATACATTTGTTTGCTGGGTTGCTAGAGTATCTTGTGATGCTAGCTGCGTAGAGTAGTGATTTTTCTTTGTGTCTAAGCTCAGAGGGGGGTTCGAGTGCTAGGTTCCGAATGCTTTCGATGGGACTAGATCGGAAAGCTCCAATGGCGAATCTTAAGCTGGCGTTTAAAGAAGTATCTATTATTTTTTTGTGGTGGGGTTTGGCAGATTGATAGATTGTTGCACCGTAGTCCATTTTCGCTCTGATGAGATGTCTGCGAATTTTTATGAGCGTATCTTCGTCTCCTCCCCACGTGGTATGACTTAACATTTTCATGATGTTGAGATTTCTTGTCAGTGATATTTTTAGTTGTTTTAGGTGTTGTAACCAATTGATTTTTTTGTCGAAATGAACTCCGAGAATTTTAATTGTGTTTACGTTTGGGATGTAGTTGTTATTTAGCTGGATGTTGATGTGCTTTTGACCTCTTTTGTTGGAAAATATAATACATTGAGATTTTAGGCTGGAGATCTTGAAACCGGTTTGTGTTGACCATTTTGCGATGTTGTTTGCTGTATCTTGTAAGAAGTGATGTACTGTTTTTAGATTAGGGCTTTTGCACCAGAAATTGAAGTCGTCTGCGAAAAGATTGGCTTTGACAGGAAATGTTATGGTGTTAGTTATGTCGTTTATTGCTAAAAGAAAGAGGGTGACCGATAATGACGAGCCTTGAGGAATTCTATTTAGCTGAGTGTAATTTTTTGATTGGGCATTTGTAAGTGAGATTGAGAATTGTCTTGAGTTAAGAAAGCATTTTATGTAATTGAACATGTTGCCGTCCGTTAGTATTTTTGAAAGAATTTCTAACACTCTATATCTCCATACCGAATCATAGGCTTTGGCGATGTCTATGCTTATCAAACCAAGATACTGATTAGAGTTGAGTGCATCGTTTACTTCTGACTTAATGATGGTAAGGCTGTCGATTGTGGATCTATGTTTGCGGAAGCCGCTTTGTAGGTCAGATAGAATTTTTGCTTTTTCCAGGAACCAAATTAGTCGAGTGTTCACTATTTTTTCGAGTATTTTAGCCATCGTGTTTAGGAGGGAAATGGGCCTGTATCCTTCAGGTGAGTGTTTGTCTTTTCCTGGCTTTAAGATAGGTATTATATTGGCTGTTTTCCAATTTACGGGGATCTGCCCCTTTCTCCATATGTGGTTGTAAATGTTGAGTAGGTGTTGTTTAGTCGATATACCCGAGTTATGTAAGAAGCTATAAGGGATTGTGTCGGGGCCCGGGCTTTTACTATTGCATACTCTCAGAGTTTGTTCTAACTCATCCATTGTGATTTTGAGGTTTAGATTTATCTGGTTTAGGTTATTTGGTTCGATGGTTGATTTGATTTGTATGCTCTCGTTAGGGATCTTTATTTCGTTTATAAATTTTTCTTCGTATAATTTATCGCTTAAGTTTTCATAAAAGAAGTTTCCTATTGTATCTGCTACTACTGTTTGATCGGTTATGGTACTCTGGTTGGCTTTTATAACTATGTCGTTGTATCTTGATAAGCCTTTTAATGATTTTATTTTTCTCCATACCTGTGCTGGATTCGTTTTTGCATTGATGGTGAATGTGTATATGTTCCATGATTCTTTTTTACTTTTTTTAATGAGGAACTTGCTTTTGGCTCTGAGTCTTTTGAGTTCGATGAGATTTTCGGGGGTTTTATTTTTTTTGAAATTTAATAGTGCTTTATTTTTATAGGATACTGCTTCTTTTATTTTGTCATTCCACCAGGGTACTCTGGGTTTTTTTGTTTGATTAGTTGTTCCTATTGTCTTTTTTGCAATGTCAGTTATGAGGTTTGTAAAGGTTTGGGTAGTTTCTTCTATATCAATGATGTTGTGTTCAATAATTTTGTTGATTTCTTCTTCTAGCCGGTCAGTATATAGGTTCCAATTTGGCTTTTTTAAATTCCATCTATATTTATTTAATTGTTTGTTATTTATTTGTCTTTGTGTTATTTTAATTTTGATTGGAATGTGATCGCTACTATATATTTCTGATAATACTTCCCATTCAAGCCTCTGCGCGATTGATGGTGAGCTTAAAGATAGGTCTATACAAGAAAAGTTGCCATTTCCAAGATTAATATGTGTGGGGGTTGTGTCATTTAAAAGTACTAAATCTTCATTATGTATAAGTTTTTCAACAGTTTTTCCTCTCGAATCGGTAGTGTTTGAGCCCCAAACTATATTATGTGAGTTGAAGTCTCCTACTAATATAAAGGGCTTAGGAAGTTGTCGTGTGATATTTTCCAGATCTGGTAATGAAAATTCAGTTTGGTTCGGTAAGTAAATG